TCCACGGCTGGATTGTATTTAATTTAGAGGGTGGGAGGTTTAAATAAGGGAGTTTTATACTTCCTTGTGAAAAGTACCATTTCTATCTTGGCAGGATTGACACTAAGGCCACATTCCTTGGACCAGATTTTTACCAGACCGAGTGCGTTTCTCAATAACTCACGCAGGACCTGAAGATGCTTTCCCGTTGCAACGATTGCTATGTCATCCGCGTACGCTATGACTTGACAACCGGTGCTCTTTAGGCTTAGAAGTATGGTGTTCACTGTTAGATTTCAGAGTAGAGGGGAGAGAACGCCTCCTTGGGGGGTGCCTCTGGTCCAGCGTTGCCAGGTTGACGTTTTCAACGTCATTTGGACGTTTTTTGTATCCTGTTGACGCTTGGACGTTTTTTGTGTAAAATATTACGTTTTTTTTTAGCTTCCCAGTAAATTTTTTCTATTACTAAATCTTGTAAGTAGAACTAATTTTGAATTATTTTCTTAATAAAACTTTACAAGCTTTGTGTTTTGCAACAGCTGCTTCAAAATATATTCATTCTTTGGACACAGATGATTTAAATATGATGCAAACCAAGCGTACGCGCATTTTGTTTTGGATTCTTGGACTAAGGATCCCGTGTTCAAAGGCTGGTTGTGTTAACACTTGAGGTTACGAGGCCTATTGTAATGTTTGCAATTGCACATTAAAAGCCAAATCAGGAAGAGCCGATCTATTGCAACACGCACGCTCGCAAAAGCATCTAAAAAGCTGTGCAGCATAAAAAGTCAGAAAAAAGTAGGCGACTTTTTGTAGACTTCATTGAAAATGTAATAAACGCAAAAAGGCTGAAAGGCTTCTTAGCAGAACGTAATTTGGCATTTTCGATAACCGACCCCCTAACCAAATGTCTACAAAAAAATAAATATTATTAAAAATCAACGCGATTATTTAGCCCCTCTAAACTTCCAAATTATGGCCCTGAAATTTAATGGGCTATCAAACTGCATACCCAAAAAAATTCTAAAAAAACTGAATAAAAAGTTCAAAATATAGCTGAAATTTTGCAGATTTTTTATAATTTTTGCACAAAGTTTGAAATGTGGATTTATCTAATATATAAAAATCTCGTGTCACGGTGTTAGTGGTCGAACTCCTNCTATATATATGGTATATATTGGTTTTTATGGAAAAATAATAAACATTAAATAAACAAAAGAGAAACAGCCAAAATCGATCAAAATGTTGATGACTTAATCAGCTGATCACAAGTGTATGTATAAAATGATTTTTATATTAACGATCTCAAACCAGTTTACAATGAATTTTAAATGTGCTATGTCGAAATGACATTTTAATATACCTTACGTACACATGTACCTTTGTAAATAATAAAAGTTTAAGAAGAACCACTTTTTGTACATTCATTGAAAAAGACGTTTTTGGGTAGGAAATGACGTTTTTTCAGACCAAGAGGGACGTTTTCTCATGCCGAAGACCTGGCAACACTGCTCTGGTCACATAATTTGTAATGGAACCATCCCCCAGTTCTGATAGAATAGTTCTCTTTCCGAGAAGGAGCTCAACAAAATCTACCAGACCTCGCTACCCTCCCGCCATGAGAAGGGAGTTAACAACAGACTTCGGGTAGACGTTGTTGAAAGCACCCTCGATATCGAGAAAAACTCCGAGCGTGTATTCCTTTAAGGCCTATACTTTTTTAATCGTCGCTACGATTTCATAGAGTGCGATCTCCACGGATTTCCCATTGGAATATGCATGCTGATTCGAGGAGAGGTTGTCAGTTTTAATATTCCGTCGATTAGTTCATCGATGAGCCTCTCTAGAGTTTTAAGAAAGAACGAAGTGAGGCTTATAGGCTTGAAATCCTTCGGTTTCACATGAGCGGCCTTGCCTCCTTTTGGTAGGAATACAACCTTTGCCTTTGTCCACTCGTGAGGTATGTGTGTCAATATTAGGTAGGCTGTAAAAATCTGAGAAAACATGGGACATAGTATGTCCTTAGCTTCCTGTAGTTGAGCGGGAAAGATTCCCTCAAGGCCAGGATATTTGTAAGGCTGAAAGGACATTAAAGCCCATTCCACGCTCTCCTCACTTACGACGTCCCTAACGGTATCACCCAGAGACAAGAAGGACCTAGGACCTGGCGAAAAACCGGAGGTGTCGTCCGAGCAGCCCGGGAAGTGAGTGCTCATAAGGACCTCCAGCATTTCGTTACATGATGTCGTCCAGTCACGGTTAGGCTTCTGGATACAGTTCATACTTGAAGAGGATTTCGAGAGAACTTTCCTCAGCCTGTTGGCTTCAGAGTTCTCTTCTATGTTGTGGCAGAAATTTTGCCAAGATTCGTGTTTCGCCCTCTTTATGGCCTTCTTGAAAACTTTGAGCGCGTCTTTGTATGGTTGCCAAAGACCTGTTCGATTAGCTTGATTGAAGACCCTCCTGCTGTTCGTCCTCAGTGATGAAATCTCAGGATTCCGCCACTGGGATTTCTTTTTGCCCTTCGGGAGGGTGCTTGGGCAGGAGGCTTTGAAAGCAGCATTACAGGCATTTGTCACAAAGTTCGCTGCCTCATCAATTTTTGACGATGAGTCCAGCTCACCGAGAGAAACAACCTTTGTATTCGAGAGTCTCGCTTCATCAGATCTTAACGATAAGTAGGACTTATCGTTAGAAGCGTAGAGCATGTGTAGAGAGGCCGACAGCGTATTTTTATACTTTTCCCAGTTGGTTCTCTTCTTGTTCCTGTATGCTGTTAAAGGAGCAGGATCAAAATTGAGCTTAAAACTAATATAGAGGTGGTCAGAAAAAGAGTGTTCTTTGGACACCTTGGTCCCTTATCTGATCAGACAAACCGCTCGAATCGGGTGATGTCCAGCACTTTGCTTCTAATAGAGGTCACAAAAGTGGGTTCGCACCCGCGGTTACATACAGTAAGATTATATAAACACTCACCTCGAGAGTTGATATCGCTTGAGCCCCATTCTTATAGAATCGCATTAAAAAAGTTGCAAATAAGTGAAGCTTCAAAGTGAAAAAGCGGTTTTGGGAAGAAACGGGCCCTCATGTAGATAAGCCTAAAGCAAATGGTAGTGGAACATCAAATGAAGGCGATACTGCTAGGAGAGCATTTAAAAACTTGGAACTCTTTTTTTCAATTACAAAAATGGATATAGAAATTTTGAATAATTTTAGAGTTATATTGCAGTTTGAAGATTTTTGCAAAAAACTGCCTTCTTGTTTTTTTGTTCTTCCGAAGGAAGGAAACGATATACACAAGCTCTTATTAATTATGAAATGTACGATGAAACAAAAGCACCTTTTTATTAAGCTTGTTAAAAGGAGTTTTTGTTTCATCGTATATTTCATAACTGCCTTCTTGTACATGAAAAAATATTTGTGGTTTCCAATGTCAGCAACAGTTCACAAAATTTTAATTCACAGCTCACAAATTATAAAAAATTCCGTAATTCCAGTTGGTTGTTTTGGTGAAAATGCATCAGAAGCTCGAAATAAATTGTATAAGAGAGATCGAATCGCACACGCAAGAAAAAATATGAAAAAGTATAATACAGTGAAACCCGCTTAAGTAACCAAATTGAATGGGCTATAAAACTGTATACTCAAAAAACACTTCTGAGAAAAAAGTTTGAAATTATTATCAGTCTCTTTTTTAAGTGTTCTACAAAATCTTAAGCTTAGGTTTATAAGGTATTTGTTAGGGAAAATCTCAAAAATTAATAAATAAACATAAGTGGCAAACAATATCATTTTGAATTTGGTACAAAATGATATGTCCCACTTTGACTTTTTAAACAATTTAATTCTTGTAAAAATTACACACCATTGCACTATATATTTTCTTTGATAAAGTTTTTCTTTACTTGTTTGTGTGTTTAAATAATGCTACGTTGTTAATCAAGTATTTATGTAAGTTAACAAGAAGATGTAACTACATCAGTAATTATGTTCGCTTAAGTACCCGCATCGAGGTACTTTCGGGTTCTTTTAAGTACCCAACCCGCCTAAGTACCTCAAAAAGCTTACACTTTTCGTGAGGTACTTAAGCGGGTTTTACTGTATGACTGACGTTTTCAATAGAGCAATGGATTCTTCTGATCCTCTTCTTTCCAGCTTGTTTTTATCCGCTAGAGAAAAGTGTCACAATGTACAAGTTTGAAATAGCTAGGACTTACCGTTGATTTTTGGCAGTTTTTGTTTTGACAAAGCCAGTCATTTTCTTCCGTATCCAAGTATGTTCGATTATATCATATTATGAAAAAACAAAAAAAAATCTGAAAATTTATTATACTTAAATTAAATGGGCTACAAAACTGCATACTCAAAATCTTTCTGTGAAATCTAATTAAAAAGCTCGAAATTATTATATACAGGTGAAGCTTATATGTATAAGCGTGTTAAAAAAAGTGCATTAAAATCACAGAGGCAGATTTGGGCAGCTGAACAGTGTGTTATTACTGTTTCATTTAACAACTAAAATTTTGTTAAAAAAATACAAGAAAAATATCATTACATTTCTACTTCCAAAAAAAGTTATGTTGCAGTGTTGTTATTTCCAAAATTGTTTACGTAGTTTACTGGCCTTCTGACGTAGATTCCATTTGGTTTTGTTAGATTTCCTTTACCCAAAGTACTTTTACACGTTTATAACTTTTCCCTATGAATCTACCACAATGTTGTGCTTGTGGGCGAAGGCCACATTCCGACTGAAAATAAAAAGGGAACTTGGGGTACAGGCCGTTACTGTGAACGGTTTCGCTTCTCGGAGGATCCCTTAAGCCAACTTAATGATGAAGAAAAATATTTTGACCGCACTTTTGGTTTTTGGCCGCGCTGTGCGACGTGTCAATATAGAATTGCAGAATCAAATACATAGAATATATAGGCACGTTACGCAAAACTAAGAGTACTTTTTGGCAGGACATTGTGTAAAAGTATACTTATTTAGTGTGAAGTTGTAGTATAAATTTTGTACGTACCTTTGTTATATGCGATATCGATGTGACTTGGGCATAGTGGAGTGCATGATCTAAACGCTCCGAGAGCCAATTACAAAGCATATTAATCTGCTGCGTGTACCACTGTTCGAAAAAATTCAGCGTCCACAAGTCGTCACCGATTTTACCACGTATTTGATCCATATTGTTGCGAAAGAAATTTACATAGCCCTGGCCAAGGTCCTTCCCTGAACTGGATACATTCGTAAAGCTGAGTATTGAACCAATTAGGCTGCCTTCATCATAACGCGCCAACTTCGACAAAGTCGACTCTAGCACAGACATAAGTTTACCAATTAGGCCTTGTGTCATGGCTACATTCGCTTTATCGATTTGATCATCTATTTTCGCATGGAATTTGTACTAGAAAACAAAAATTACAGAAAAAGATACAACGAAATAGTTTACATTTACATAAATACAAACAAAGATTTTTTGCATAAACCTTTCATGCCATTTCCTAAGCTATCAATACTATGCCGAGAACATTTCGCTAAAAGAGTTGGAAATGCAGGAAAATCCCTTTGGCAGGTCGGTGTAAAGGCACAGAGAATCCTAAAAAGACTAACGAATGAGACACTTTTCAGAGTCTTGCTATCAACCCCATCAATATTAGGTGTGTTAACTTTGGAAAGTAAATTTTAAGTTTTCAGTTAAATTCAAATTAACCGTCCGCTGTTTAGAAGAGTAATCCTAAATCTTTCCGCGGAAGTGAAATAGATGAGGGTAACTGCAGATAGAAAGCTAACGCAGGAAATTCACTTCGAGCTGAAGATAACTCGAACACTGAACCTTTAGTATGACTTGGGGTGATTCTGAGACCGACTATGTATATACCTCCGAATTATACCAACATATTTTCCACGTCAAGCTTTTATGTAGAATTATGGTTCACTACGATAAATATAAAATAAAACATTAACCATTTTTCCAAATTTGAATTAAGTACTTTCAAAGTTATACCGATACCAATTCTGCTCATATTTTTAACAGTTAAAAATTATGGGGCCGTAGTCACAGAGAAGTTAGAGGCAGGTTTTAACAATTGAAACTGTATTTTAAGACAAATACTATTTTATTTCTGTAAAAGTCAACTTAGAGTACGTTTTATATTTAAAACGGCATTCTAAGTTTAAATAGAGGCGAACGTGATTTTAAAATAAAAAGAACACATATGTAGTTTTTTTGCTGTCAACAATTACGAAAATTTTAAAGAATTTGCGTACTACCACTCTGTAAGACCTGGGTTTGATCCCTGGTCCGGGAGACGTTTCAATTAAAAATAGTTTTTTTCTAACAGCGGTCGGCTTTACTTCTTCCATGAAAAAGCTTCTCATAAAACCCATTTGCCGTTCGGAGTTGGAATACAACTGTAGGTCCTTCCATTTGGGTAACAACAAGACGCACAGCACAAATTGAAGGAGAAGCTCGGCCAGACAGAGTGTAAGCGGCAAAATATTATTTTTAAAGAAGTGCTGATAATCGTTAACAAGAAAGTAGATCTTTCGCCAGCAGTACAATATTGTTTACGAGATATTTGTATCTATCTTCTCTTCTATCTATCTATCTATCTGCACTGAGGGGAAAAATAGTAAAATCAATCAGAAACGTAGTTGACATTACTATAAACGTCAACGAAAGTACTGTATAGTGGTAAATATTCAATTCAACGACGCGCATTCTGCGCTGGTAACATAAATTTTATAATCGGTAATTAAAGTGTCTGTCAATTTTTAAACCTCTTTCGCATTCTGTGCTCTCTTGTAACCGGTAAATTTGGTTACCATCTCATAAGCTGGTAACAAAATATTGCCCCGGGAAATATGCAATAGAAGAATTTCCAAAAATCTTCCTAGCTGAATTGCTGAATATTTTCACTGCATTACTAACGTACCTAGTATCGCGGTGACAAGAAGTGGTAAAATTTTTTGGTAATAAAATTTTCCGGACACAAAATCTTCGATAACGTGCAGAATAGACCTGTAAGCGTGAATAATCAAGATAAAAACTGCCTGCAATGGAATTCGAAGCCTAACCCCCTGGAAATCATCAAATCGTAGCATGCATCTTTGCGCACTCAGCTACAGCCAGACATATAAATAACATGTCCTTTATATGCATGTGTGTGTTGTCGCCGCTCTGCATGCTTGGTATACATACCCTGCAGGAAATTAAACAAATTTGAAAGTAATTTATAAACTACCTTACTTTCAATAACATCTAATTGAAACGGTGACAGGTAATAAGGTCAATGGAAATAAGGTCAATTGACTGTATTTCCCATCCTGGTGCGAAATAAAGTCAATTGACATTATTACCTTTTCAAAAGCGAAATAAAGTCAACAAAAATTTGGAAATAAAGTCATTGACGCTATTTCCTCATTCAAATGGAAATAGCGTCAACAATGCTTAAAGTATGTGGATTCATAGAAAAAAATGTTGTTCTTACAATAAACATTGCCCCGTAAGTGTTGTTTTTTAATAGATGAAAAAGGTTATTGTAAATCCTCAGTGTTGTGATATTAATCCACACACAATCATGAACTACCACCATTTGATTTTATTAAAAAAAATTTAAATTACGAATATGTAAAAAGACGATGCGAAAAAGTAAACGCCTGCGCACAGCTGGAATACGAGAAATATTTGAAGAAAGAGTGTAGAAATGATCCATAACTTGCAAAACATGTTACGTTTCCACAAAAATAAATTGAAGAAACAGTCCATGTCCAAAAACCCCGGAGGAACACTAAAAGAATTCTGTGTTTTAAATTAGCATATTTTGAACGAATTCGGAATGCCTAAGGTGGAAAAGAAACCAACTTTTCTATAAGGAAACAATTATAGAAAAATAATTTTCTTACACTGTATTCATGTATCCGCCAGCAATTTGTGACGACATCATTTAAAAGCAGCTAAGGAGAATGACGACACTATTTATTAGATGGCACATTCAACGAGCCAATGTGCCAAAATGCGGGTATAAACAATTATTGATTATTTAATACCGGAACCGAGATCATATAAGTGAATTGATTGGTTTTCACACACTTTTGAAACACAAATTATATGCCTTTTTCCTGCAGACAAGTTGTTGCCGCAAAACACAGCAGAAATCTTCCAATCAGGGCTGGCAACTATCCTTAGTTATGAGCTGCCATATTGAGGACAAAAAATTGCCAAAATGTGCCAAATAGAAAAATAAAAGTGCCAAAAAAGGTGTTATTCCTTTTAATTATTCACATTTAGCAATAAAATAAAGCTACATTTGCCCAACATGGGTGCAATGATAAAATAAGATAAACCAGTTGAATAGCCTTTATAAATTTGAAAATTTTAGTTGAGAAAAAGAAGTGCACGCAAAGGATTTCACAAAAATGAATTGAAATGTTATGTTTTTTTTTACAAAAGTGATTTGGCACTTTGTGTCAAATTGAAAAATTAAGTGCTACTTGAAGTAAAACAGTGACAAATGGCACGGTTTGAGGCAAGTTGGCATCCCTGCTTCCAATAACTTACAAATATAAAAATGTGAAATATCGAGGGCTTGAATTCATTAATACCCTCTATCTGTAATTTGCACAAAAACTAATTTGTGATTTTAGAAACCATCTGGGACTTATTATCTGTCGTTATATAAGGTAGCATTAATATCACCGATGACAGTTAAAGCTTAGGTGGATTTTTATATCAGAATCTCATCTTTGTGAAAAGTGTGCAGACAGAGGGTATTTTATTGAATATAAGCCCTCGATGTTTAAAATATATAAACATTTTATTTCAACGTATACAAAAAATAAATCTACCTGCGTTACAGCACGGTGGGAGACGCGGAAGGGCGGCCGGGGGGCCGCGGCGTAGCGTGACGTGGTGTGCGCGCCGGTCTCGCGCGGTACGCGGGGCGCCGCGAAGCTAAGCAAATTTAATGCTTGAAAGAAAAATGTCAATGGATTTTATTTCGTTTTTAAAAAGGTAATAATGTCAATTGACTTTATTTCGCACCAGGGTGGGATATTTAGAACACAATGTAGCCAATTGAAAAAAGATATTTGGACTAAAAACTTACACGATAGGTGCTCCTGTGGCCGAAATATTCCTAAAATTATTTTACGCTGGGAGAAGGATAGATATCTACTATATATTTCTGGAAGGATGTATGTATGCATGTGCCGGGTTGCAGCCTAAACAGACGGAAAGAATCGAATGAAATTTTGACAGAGTGTTGCCATGACATCTGGGCCTAAAATAAGGAAAAAAAATTGGGATTCGACAAGGGGGCGTGGCACCTCCCATAGGCGTGGAATTTTTAATCAGGCATAACTTCGGAACCATAAGTCACATGAACTTGAAATTTGGTAAGCAGACATAACTAAGGTAGGTGCTTATAGTAGGGTATATACAAATCAGTTTGTAAAAGGTGGCGTGACACATCTCATAGGCGTGGAATTTTTATCAGCTATAACTTCTAACCATATCTCACATGAAATTTGAATTTAGTATGCAGACGTATCTATGGTAGGTGCTTATAGTAAGAGATGGCACATCCCAGGGATGGGCGTTTTTGAATGAATTATTATTCCAATAAAAAATAAACTTTTATTCATAATATTTCTAATTTTGAATGACGAATAACTTTTTATTCTTCATTCAAGCACTTTCGAATGATGAACAAATTAGCATTCATCATTCAAGTAATCTCAAATAACGAATAAATTTTTATTCTTCATTCAAGCACTTTGGAATGATGAATAAATTTTTATTCATGTCTGGGACCACTTATGCTGACGTCCTGAAATTTACCGCAGCTATATATGTTATCGATACCGTATTTACGACGAAAAGAGGCAGGTATTGGAAAAGAGGGCGTAGCACTTCCCATACAAACTGAATTTCTCATATCGCTTATTTTGCAGAAAATTTACCCAAAATGGCGCTGCAGCCGAAGTACATAGATACCCCATGAGTTTGGGCTCCTTTGGCCCTATTTTATTTTATATAAATTTAATTTTTAGATGGCTAAATGAAATTGTGTAAGCGCGCCTTTTTTCGGACGCCCTCATACACCCTTAATGCGATCTTGCAACCAGTTCATAAATATTAAAACGAATTTTAAAATTGGCGAATCGGCAAGGAAAGATTCGACCACATCCGTCCAAGAACGAACACGGTAGGTAAATCAATGCGTTCATTTTAACGATATTCAAGAGATAACACGACTCATTTAGCCAATGTACGGAAAACTTTTCATCCTGTTGGACAGGGAGGATTCTTGGCCCTACCTTAACAGAAAACGTAATCTGTGCTTTTGAGTTTCCTTATAAGAACTTTTATTGGCTTACGCATCGGACCAATGTTGTAATTGA